AACCAAGAAATATCGATGTTAGGTATTTCTGGTCTCACAGTAATTAGTCCTCAATAGGAAGTCTTAGGTGGGAGTCGAATTGTTACAAGTAATTGGTAATGCTCATCGTCTATGAAATTAAAGTGTAGTGCACTTTGTGAATTATATGCGAAGGACATTGGAACGCCTACAGAAAAATTCACATCTTAGAGACAAAGAGCGAAATCCACCAAGATGAAGCAAAATCGACGACAACGGCTGAGGCATCTGATGCATACGAAGGCAGAGCATTCTCAGCGACAGTAGGCTTACAGTATTTGCAGTCACTGTGAGAGATATTGAAGGTCATCGAAAAGAAAACTACAGTAACTGACAAAAATATCACAGCAGAATCACGTGAAGGTTTGAAAAGAGGCGGAATGAAATGGGGCACTGAACATTTTCAAGAATGAGGTAAGCAGTGAGGCCGACCACATCAATTATGCGGTGACTTAGCGTGTGCTCAATCATCTGCGGTGGTTAGTGTGACTCATTCACCTCAAAAAACAAGAAAACCGTCTCAAAATGGGAAGGAGCGTTCTAGTGGTGCTGGTCAACGGAAGTGTGACCTTTTCGTCGGAGTAATACTAGTTAGGCATAGCCCTCTGCTCCTCCCATATTTCGCTTAATTACCTCCACAAGTAAATAAAATGAAGTAAAAGATATAGTGGGTGGCTGTCATCGAGCTGAATTCCATAACTTTTGATGTCGCGCAGTAATTCATTCCTACTACATAGTTCCAGTCCTGATAGCACATAAAGCACATGTGCTACCTACGCCCATTAAATAATGGGTATTTTTGAAACAGCAGTACAAAAACGAGTGTCAGGAATTTGAGGTCGACAGTAGAAATTCAGAGACGCTGTCGAACCAGCCCAACTACTGTAGCTCGCCTACATATGCATGTCCTGTGGATAAGAAGAGTTGCGGACTCTTTTTTGGCCCATCGAAAAAACCCCGCGTTCCACCACCAGGCTGCAGCTGCATCAGCGACATTGAAACGAAAGCTACAAGTGAGACTGGATTGAATAAATTAAATTTGATACTGAGCAAGCAAGACAATACCATTGACGAGTTACAACCCAAAAAGCTTGAAACCTGTATATAGAGGGATTGGGGGAAAAGATGATTGGGAGGTCAACACAGTGATTCAGAAGTGTCACGCCATACTTTGGGATTCACCCTGTCCAACAGCGGCTTTCCTCTTACCAAGGGATATTGAAATGGGATCATAAATGCACAAAAAGCTAAAACATCGAAGCAAACATCTACTTTGTGAATCATTGGAGGAGCCAGTACCTTGAAATGGTGCCAAGACTACGAATGGATACTGAATGTTCCCCGGTGCATCCCAGAGTGGCTGACTGATCTGATAACTTATATACCAAGTTCTAAAAGAGCCAATCAAGCTACAAACCAATCAGCTACATAAATATAACCTCATAAAGCTCAGGTTAAACCATTCGTTTGACACTATCAGTCAAATGAAACCCTGGGCAGGAATGAAGAAGAGCAAACCTCCTTCATCCGTTCGTTTCGAATTTCCAATGGAAAACGAAGAAGCCCGAATATAAGCTGATTAAATTCGTATCCGTGAAGAGAAAGAAGAGGTGATAATTCTAGAGGGATCATGCTTTGTATGAACAAATTATATACCAACTACTTCTGGAAAAAACTATCATCTATGCTAAAACCTGGCCTTGCGAGAAGGACGACAACAACTGAAGTGGAGAAACTGAAAAACAATGAATCGTGGCCAAAGTATAGGCAATTAGGCAGTCTTCTAATTGCTGGATTAATCTGGCCGTCCAGCGATTTCAAGCGGATTCGCCTAGTAAGAAGAAAATCGATTCCAAAGTGATCTTGAATGACAACCTGGCCTTGCGAGAAGGACGACAACAACTGAAGTGGAGAAACTGAAAAACAATGAATCGTGGCCAAAGTATAGGCAATTAGGCAGTCTTCTAATTGCTGGATTAATCTGGCCGTCCAGCGATTTCAAGCGGATTCGCCTAGTAAGAAGAAAATCGATTCCAAAGTGATCTTGAATGACTATCATCTATGCTAAAACCTGGCCTTGCGAGAAGGACGACAACAACTGAAGTGGAAAAACTGAAAAACAATGAATCGTGGGCAAAGAATAGGCAACTAAGCAGTCTTCTAATTGCTGGATTAAACTTGGCCGACGAGCGATTTCAAGCGGATTCGCCTAGTAAGAAGAAAATCGATTCCAAAGTGATCTTGAATGACGCTGATCTAACAATGAACGTGAAAAACCGCTCGGGATGATCGTCAGAGGTGTTGACGTCGTAATAGCGAGAAACTCGTTTCGAGTAATCGACAATCATTGAACACTCGAGTATTCATCCATGGTAAACGGTAAGGAAGTTTACAAAAGTGGTAATAAAACAAGAGATCGTTGGTCGCCAGCATCAGTTCGTTCGTATGTGGCGAACTGCTGCTGGCGACATTCCCACATTTGACCTATTGATCGAACCTGGTTGTAGGCTCCTAAGCTGTACATGAAAAACTTCTGAAAACTTCCGATTTGTTGCCAGTACTTCAACCTTTTCCCTTCCTTGTCATATTGTAATCATTGAACGGCTGAACGATGACAAAGAAATGAGAGCAATCGGAAAGTCGAGAAAAGGGAACGGCTGTACTTCACAGAGTTTTAGGAAAGTATAGCCGTAGTTGCTGAGCACCTGATACAATTGAAAAATACTGTGAATGCACAAAATTTGCTGCAAGTAAATGATAAGTATCGATCTGGAGAGCTATGGAATCGTGGAAAAAACGGCGTAGTAGAAGAGGTGGCTTCAAAAACTTTTCACCTTTTTCCAACTTTTAGGCTTGGTCTAAAACACAAAAGAGCACTATCTATTTCAAAATTCAAAGTCAGCCATGTAAATTTTCTTTAAATTACTTCATTATATACTTCTCCCACCGAGACCGTTGGACGTGAACAGAGACCACGCCCACTGCTAGATCAACCCACAGGGCATCCTGACTGTGTCTTCAACGGAATCAATTCTATTTTGAACACACCCCAGTCTTCCTCTAACGATTTTTCACGCCTAACAGTCACTCGCGAAGATGTCTTTCTTTCGACGGAGGAACGTATGGTTCATTGGTGAACAGCAGCTTTGCAAGAACCAGTTTTTAGCAAATGGGACAGAAACGAGTACAAACGGGGTTTTATTCATGGGAGAGGCACGGGAAGACACTATGGAAAAGGACGGAGGATACGACCAGCAGAACTTCTCTACACCTCTCAAGTGAACAGCTCACTCCTCGGGAACTACTTTCAGCCGGCTTCATACCATTACCACGTACTGCTTCAAAAGGAAAGCATTAGTGTCTTAGAGATAGCCCTTGATGGTACTGTCTATCCAGCTGCTTCATCACAACCACTAGCCCTAGCACTTGAGAACAGCTTCCACAATGAAAGAATGGATTATGAACAGCTTGAGACGGTTTTGAGAACGGTTCACTGTATGAGAAAAAGCGAAAACCGTCAAAAATTCTTTAATTACGGTCCGACTTCTGCAGATCGACGACTTATATCTAGGCAACTTTCCGCTGAGATTCCTGCACCAAATTCAGTGACACTTCACGTTTTCTCTCCCAATATCGAACCTGGGGTTCTTTTGTCATGACGTGGGGACTACACGAAGGTCGTGACGCTGTGTGGTGGGTGGGTGTAGGGCAAGATAAGCTTTTTGTGCACCTAATTATCGAAGTATCACTTCGGTTCAGACCTACAAAAGAAGAACTAAATAAGTTATTCCCTTGATAACAATACTGTATGTAGCATCCCACTACAGAGCATATGGGCTGTTACTATTATAAAAAGGTATAGTAAACTGATGCAAAGTCATTGAAGACCGGTGATATTGAAAAAGTAGCCTTACCACCGACTATAATAATTATGGCAACTGTGCAATCAATTCCGTTTATGGATGGGTTTACGACGCACCAGACCACGCGTCCATACTAGGATCCATAGCCGAGTTACTGTAGGGAACTAGTGTCCGAACTGAACTTTCGATTCTATCCGTGGCGTCTGCTATGATGTGCTGCTGGCCCTCACAGCAGGATCATCGTTTTGCTACAGTAATGATGAAGAAAGCGCAAAATATGTTGTGTTGAGTGTTTGAGTGCACACAGTGCAACACACCAAAGTTCACGACTATTTCATTCTCCAACAAAAAACTTACGTAAAGAAATGAGCTACGAACTGCTTTATCGTTTCCATGATCTCATTTGGGAGCAGGCGTCTTTCTCACCCCATTCTTTTTGTTATTTCGCGTAATTGTCATCACGACATGTAATAATCAGTGATGTTTGAGGTTACCGCACGGCTACACTCTAGGATACGTCACATTGTCTCAGGAATAGAAAGAGCGTACTGGCCATGGAGGGCGTCATTACGCTCGATCAACCCTCCGAAACACGCGTCAGACAGAAACAATGCGATCACCACTGCTACGCCATGTCTCCAGACTGCTTACTGCTGCTGATTGTGTCTCTTTATCACGGCCTTTAAACCACCCAAAATTCGTACATCTGGGAAGCTCACCGTCACCGTCAATGTCAGAAGATTTTGAAAACTATGCAAAACACTATTTCAACTTTGAAGAAGTTGAACGGGATGTATTCAGGTATAGAATTGAATTGTTCTTTTGTATATTTGTTTTCGTTTTAGTTTGCTTTTGAATTGACTATGCATGAATAATTCTTATTTTTTTGTCGAAAATCTTCCCATCGATTCCATTTAAATGCCTTTTCTGCTAGAAATATTGGGTTTTGGATTAAGTGGTTAGGTGGATACAATGGTTTTGATCAGACTTTGATGCAGTAACGTCGAGTGTAAATACTAATAGCAATAATAACAATATAATAGTGAAAAATTCATTGGTACGTATAGAACAGTCACTGTGGTAGGGTTTTGAACGCCATTTTTTGAAGTTCGGGCATTTATGCTAATCATTTTTGAAAAATCAAAGGTTTTCAGGACATCGAACCTGGTCACCTTCCGGCAAGGATCTTCAAAAGCTGCTTATGGAGGACTGATTTTTGCTCAAGCATTGGCAGCTGCTGAAAATACCGTTGACGAGACGTTGAAACCACATGCCATGCATTCATTTTTCATACTTTGTGGTAAGTAAATCATAAAAAGGTGTTGCACCAGAAATTGCTCAGATCTGTGATTAATTGAAAAAACATCTCAACGATTTCCTGGTAGAACTCATGCTGCGTACATTTGAGGAAATCTTCTTTGAGTTTTTGACGTCTGCCTTTCCGATGTTCTCTTTTCTTTTAGAAGATTTTTATAATTTGATCCAGTCTCTGCTTGGTGTCGCTGAGATTGCAATCGATGAGATGTGGTGATTTACAGCGTTTTCATATTTCTGTTCCAGTGAATACATCAATACCCGTACAATATCACGTACGGCGGGTAAGAGATGGTCGATCTTTCTGCACGCGTACTGTGGAAGCTATACAAGATGGGAAAATTGTATTCGTCCTACAAGTCTCATTCCATAAGGTAAACTTTGTTTCGGATTCACAATTGCACAGAACTTTATGTTTTTTCCTTTTCTATTACTGTCCCGCTCACTCTCTTCTCCCAGATTTTCCTTGATCCTACTTTTATAAGTGGAAAACGTATTGCAAAAAGTTGCTATGCAGTTTGAACTCATTCCAGCTCGAAGGGGATGCAGTAGTTCATCAAGACACAATGCCAGATGTACCTTCTTGGAGAGAATTAAAATCCATGACTGATCTGGTACCATGGCTGATGACTGAAATAACCGAAGGTAGGTCTCCGTTCTCACATGAAACGATTCATGACATTCCATTAGGTTGGCAATTAAGTAAACCCGTTCCACGTAACTACTGAGTAATTGCGTCAAATATTCTTCTCAAAGAGTATCCCACCTGTTTTTGAAGCGATTTGTATTTATAGATCAGATGCCTGAGTATTTTGTGGTCAATAAATAACTCCCTATTATTTATAATTTCAACAAAAACGGTCAAGTTAGTTGGGAAGGATCATAGTCAATTTATTTAGAAATCATTCTCCAAACATAATTGTTAATCCACGTGTAGTTTGTATTTTCAGGCCGAATTCAAGTAAAACCAGTGGTTGAAAAGAGATTGAAGAACTACGATAGTCGTGCTTCTCAAGACCGAGAGCTATTTGAAGTACAAGTTTGCTCACATTTTCATGGGCTAACCCAGGATTCAGACACCTAATTGACTTTGGCTTCATTATGGATCTTCCCGATTTTGAAAATATGTACTGTAATGTACTTCGTTTTTGTCTTTTTCCAGATCAGACCAACGGATGCCGAACGACATTTAGGATTCGGAAAAACGAATCACCAAACACGAACGTTTTATTCCTGGTTTAAATCGAGGGGAAGCTTAGGTGATTGCGAAAAGCTGCACAGGTTAGCATGTTCACATGTCATATGATATCTCTTCTTCAATTACCCATTGTCCCTTTCTAGGTACCTGGTTGCCTACACGACTGATGCCACGATGGCAGGATCAGCATATCGCCCTCATCTTGTGTGAGTGCAGTTTCAGATGAGGAAAACTTTCTGAATTACTTTAATGGGCTGTTTTCATTTATTTTAGCAACGACTTCAACCCAACAATGTTGTTTTCACTTGATCACAATGTTTGGATGCACAAACATGAAATGCGAGCTGATCGATGGATGCTGTTTGAGAACACTTCAACGGTTGCAGGTAGCTCTTTTCTCTTTTCCTTCATCTCACATTAACATTTTACTTTCTTTCCTAAGTTTCACGATGCTATGTCGAGATCGTTACGGAGTGCTCATTTTACTACTCATTACTATATGCATCGATCACGATTTCTATCGTTCAGGTAGAGGCAGAGCATTCATCACTGGAAAGTTATGGAGCGAGGAAGGCATACTTTTGCTTAGTTGTACCCAAGAGGTCGTATTGCGGGGCAACGGCCAAGTATCTAGGCTATAGCAGTCCATCGTAGCAATTATTGTTTGTATCATAAGCTGTGTGCTCTCAAAAACAACGTTGTACAGTCCAATGCTTTCGGCACCACATTCCTTCAGAGTTCGACTTCCTCGTGAAGTTAGAACAAATCAAAAATAACTCAGGAAATTGGTTGTTTTTTCACTTAGGGTCTAGGCCCGACATCTTAGTAGAAACTCTGTGCTGTAATATTCAGTGAGTCACTTGCAACATTTGTTTGAGGTTCATAATTCGCCTCTGATACAAATGAGCGTGATGCAGCATACTCCATCTTGATTTTAATAATCAAAAGTGAACAGATCCAGAGGACAAGATATATTAACTGCTGTACGAGATTTTATTGTCGGCTTATCTGAGTGTTAGTAATAGTTTAGAAGTCTAGAAGTGCTGTTTCTTGCAGTGCTATACATATGTCTTTAGAAATATTTTCCCTTCAAAAGGGACCACCTCAGCTGTTCACTCTAAAATGCCGAACAATAAAGCTTCCTCTACAAGAATTTTGTTTACTTGGTTATTTTTGCGACGTACACGACTACTAAATGCTGATGGGAATGGTACTCGAGCGATTTCCTTGCAGTTTCCCAAGTTTCGATGCACGGGACATCACAAAGTTCATAACAATCGAGTAATGAGGTTGAAATTATTTCAATAGGTACGTCAGCCTTAACATTACGGCCTGAACAATAGAAACAATTGATAGCAAGTCACATATAATGGACACCGGAAATGTATGCGACAGGAGATAGCACTGATAATGGATATCTTAAACTCTGTTAATATCACGGGCAAGATGATAGTGACCAGCTCCTTCTGAGACACTTTGTGAATAAAACACTGGGGATGTGAGCAAAAGCAAATAATAAGTTCATCCTCCAAATATCAGAAGAGAACAGCAACCGAAAAAACAGATTCACATGCAATGTAGGACAAGAGACCAAAGAAAACTTCCAAACCTGTACGCTGTACTCACTCCAGTAGCCGTGATAATTCGTCCACATATGGTGCCACGATATGGGTGTCCTTGCTACTAGGTTCAATTCCGCCATCGGTAGTTAAGGATGGTGGTGGCTTTACAGGTCTTGGTCGAGAACTGGCACCTGGGAAGCATACCTCCAGCAACGCACGATATTCTTCACGTAGTTCCCTTCTGAAAAAAGTTTATGTAACCAGGAAATAAGGAAAAAAACTTAGGTTGCAAGTTTATAACTAGTCATTTATAGAAATTCAGAACTGGGTCAACTATTGAAGTGAATAAAGCAGTGTAGAAGAAGCTCTCACCCATGATCTAAAGGTTCAAGGAATCCATGCTTCGAATGCGCTTCTCTCACATGAGAGTATGCCAAGTATCTCCGCGAAAACGACGCCCGACACACCGGGCAACTGAAATTTTTTCTTTAGAAAAGATCCAAATTCTCAAGAAGTACTGGTTAGACCTAAGGATCCCATATTGCTCAGATTGAAAGGAATAATTACTAACCAATACTGCTTTTTGGAAGCATGTAGTCGTGAATGTCTCGACAGGTGGTTAACGAGATTCGCGTACTGCCCCTGGCGAGTGATCGCTTTCTTGCATAGCTGAAATTTGAAATATGTCTAGTTATCATTTAGTCCAACCTGAGGAATACGTAGTCGTACTATAACAAACCAGATTATAAAAGAAAAGCATAGAAGACGGGGGTAGACTAAGTTAACCCTTTAACGACAATGCGGATTTCGACGTAACGCGCTCATGGGACCATGTTCCCCTACTTTCGCGCGCGACTGGCACCCACCGGTGGGTGCCATTGTCGTCAAAGTGTTAACGAGCAAGTGAAAGGCATTTTGGGTGATGATTTTGGGTGGGTGTATGAGCTTTTCTTTTTGCTTTCGCCTAAATTGACCTGTTTTCTCAAAAGAAAAAGAACTGTGCTTGTCACCTGGCACTGATATTTCTCCGGCCCTAATCCTTTCTTTCGAGCTTTTCGCTTCGACTGTTGAGAACTGAGGCATTCTGTTGGCTTCACTTCCGGGTTCATTTCGTCATAAACCTTATAAATGAGTAATTAAGGAGAGTTGTAGGAAAAATGAATTAATATTGTATAATGGAATATATCAAATGAATAAATTCCTTTGGCCAAAGTCATCGTTGTCATGTGACCGCATTCCTATGTCTAAGATGCATTTGAAAAAAATATCCTACTTACTATAAAGCGCTTCGTCTGTCTGTCTGTCTGTCGTTCTGTCTGTATGTCTGTCACGAAATTCCCTAGCTCCTTTAGATCTGCCTGGAGAGACCGGGTCAAGTGTGGGATGGGTGGGCCAGGTCTCGAGAAGTATAAAACACACATCACCTTGGCGAAGCCCCGCCCACAGTGGTTTATAACTCGGTTTGGAGAAAGTCAACAGAGCAGGAAAAAGTTCATGTGGGAGGAGCACTAGAAAGTTCAAATTTGGTAGGAGTACAGACACTGCGATGTGGAAACTTATGGTGGGTGGTAGAACCAGACTCCGCCCACAAGGGGCGGGGTTTGTGCAAAAATTCGTAACTCCTGTCCCCATGGACCTAGAAAGTTCAAACTTGGTAGGAGTACATGCGACAGGATGGGAACACCTATGGTGAGTGGCAAAACCAAACTCCGCCCACAAGGGGCGGGGTTTGGGTGAAAATTCATAATTCTGTCCCAATGGAGCTAGAAAGTTCAAACTTGGTAGGAGTACAGAGACTGCGATGGGGAAACTTATGGTGGGTGGTAGAACCAGACTCCGCCCACAAGGGGCGGGGTTTG